ATATATATATATAATGGATCCTTACGATATAAAATCCTTGTATCCTTTTAAAGAGGCTTTTAAGTAATAATTATTGTACTTTATTAAACACATGAATCTCTTATTGTACAAATATATGGCATAAATATAGTATGTGTGTAATTATATATAGCCAAAAAGAACAAAAATAATTGATGATGTCCCAAAAGTAAAATAAAAGTGCGCAGTTTCTTTATTGCCAGAAGGCTAATGTACCGTTATGCTCCCTGATGATGTATCGAACGTTTTTTTAAAAATGCGATTGAAGTACAGGATGCAATCCAAAATCTTATCTTATTCTACATAATTATTTTTCATTAAATGTTGTAAATATAATAAAAGAGACAATATTAATTCTTATAAATCCTCAAAATATAACGTTTACGTACAATGAGCAATAAATAATTTTTATATTTAATTCAATTCCTTTAAATTCATAAATCACAGGTTTATAAGTCTCTTTTTGATATCCATCTTGCTGATACCAAAGAAAGAATATAATTGGCGTATTAAGCCAACGCTTACGTCTTCAAGCTACGAAGGGACTTAAAGAATGCTCAATTACACGCGTGCAGCTCGCATCTATTTTTCATCAAACGATTAATTTATACAACACAACGCGAGGAGCCGACGATAAACGAACACGTGTTTTCCATTCTTGGCGAGGTGCATTTCCTCGTTCGTGATATGCGAGCGAGTCCATTTAATCGCGCGTTTATTTACGTTAACGAGCCGTGTAACAAAACTCGTGTAGCGCATAATCCGACGATTCCCAGCCCAATTTGACGCTAAACAAAACGCATTCCCCTGCTCGCAACGTCACCTTTCTCGGCGCACTCGCTCCCCGACCTCCATGATTTAACGAGACTCTCGATCTTTCCGCGAGAAATTTCCGATCCCTATCGTTCATGGGAAGCAACACTCTTACTCCGGCTATTATTATCTCCTGCCCCTCCCCCTCATCCCCCTTTGGCTACTATTAATTAGTGACTAATTACAACCTCGTCGCGGATCGCCCCGTATGAACTGATTAAGTAACTGCCAATTGCTCGCGACGGGCATTAAAGGAGAGTTTAACGAACTCTTCGGCGCGAATGTGAGTTTTCCTACATATTTTAACGACCGTTTCGCATTTTTTCTTCAAGGTAAATTTTTCTGCATTGTAATTTAGAGCAGTAAAATTAACTCGTAATCATTTACAGAAAAGTGATAAACATTAACGAATAAATGAACTATTCATGTATAAATCAATTTTTCAGGTGTATATATTTCCTTTTTTTATTCAGAGATTTTATCTCTCACATAAATTAAAATTAAATTTTTATTTCGTACATATGAAATGAAAGCTCATTTTTTTTATACGTATATTGGATATTATATATACAAGACAGTCGTAAAAAAATGAAAAAAGAAGAGAAGATTTGTACGTGGCTAAAGAAAATGGTTTTTCCTTCTGTAGGATTAAAAAATTAGAGTTAGAACGAGATTTCTATTTTAGAATGTTTATACAACACGTTTGTATGCAACCGCTGATAACCGTCGTCATGACATCACTCAAGAAATCGTCTTTTGAGGCTGTTGAATCAGTTTAGAAAGCGGTGATAACTTTCAATTTATCGTGTGCATTCAAATCGAGGAAAAAACATGGTTTTTGGTGTGAATAAATACACGATGTATACTCACGGAAATTTTACAGCCTGACATTCTGCTATCATGATCATTCGATGCACACGAGTTCTCAAGCGAACGAAAGCCGTCACCTATTTTCCCGCTGGAAAGAAAGGAGCGGAAAGAAAGAGCGCCGGTACTTTGACCACGGCGCGACCGGAGCAGAAACCGAGCCGAAGGTCTCGTAATACGGTTGCTTGCTCATCAAACGCCGTCCGTGTCTTAACACGCGCGTGCTAATACGGTGTAAATTTGACGTTACAGAAAATCACTAGTCGTTGCAGAGAGCAAGCGTCATGGATAGGTAAACACACATCGCTTCATGTTCGGCACATGAGAGAAACAGAAATTTAAACGAATACAATTCCGATGTATGTTGAATTTTTAGTAACAGATCGGACTAGATATCTTACGTCAAAATTATCACGTTTCTATTGTTATGAATAACCGTTTCACGATTTAATAGTCATTGAAAAAATTATTGAAATGAGAAATATTGAGATGAGGAATATACGAGATGAGAGAGGAGAAGTCTTGCAAAACGTTCGATATATTTCAAATATAACGATTTCCCTTCAATTTGATTTTGAAAATAATTAATATCATTAAGCCCACGTCAGTATTGGACATCTTTAAAAGGGCATACCCGTTTGAACTTTCGAAAAATGAATATATTTTCTAGATTTGTTTGCAGCGCAACGATTTGATAAAAACTTTTTTTTTTCTTTTTTATAATATTAATACATTATTAAGTACTTAAATAAAAATGTTCAGCTTAAAAAAATTGTTTTTTAAAAGTTAAGCGAATATTTGCAGATTTATGTTTTCAAGCACAGCGTGTATGAAAATTCGGGCTATGTTCGACGGATTGACTTCAAATTTTGCATGCGAGTTCTTAATAAAATTCCGCATCTAACGAAGCCTTTTTTAAAACCAATTTCCCATTTTTTTAATTATAAACAAAAAAAAATGGAAAAAAATTTGTTTAAAAAAGACGAGACTTTTTTTCAACACACCGCCATTTTTTTATTTTTCAAAATTTTGAAAAAACGCTTGGATAGAAGATAGCTATTAATACGTTTAATAAAAAAAAGCTTGTGTTTTTTATTTCTAATATGATCTACGAACATTTTCATGCACATCGTGCAGCCACCTAAAAAAATTTGGAAGAGCTCTGCAAATATTTCCATAACCTAAAAAAAAAAAAAAATTTTTAAGCTGAAAATTTTTATTTAAGTGGTTAATAATATTGTATTAATATTGTAAAATATTAAAAATTTTTATCAAGTCGTTGCTCTGCAAAAAAATCTAGAGAAGGTACTCATTTTTCGAGATTTAAAACGGGTATGTCCTCTTAATGATGTGCGTTTGTTGCGTTTTCTTCACGAAATACAAAAGTCGCAGTATTATTATTCCGTATCGTATCCGAAACCAGTTGTAAAGACACGCCCGTTTTAAAATAATTCTTCGCTACGTTTGCT